CTTGAATTTTCTGTGTTCGTCTTCAGGTATTTTCTTATAATTTCTGTGTTGATCTCCTTCATTCTTTGTTCACCTGAATCATCTCCTCTTTCTAAACTGGCCATGATATTGAGTATACATTCTTTTATTATATTTTTTGTAAAGTTTGTGTCCCTGTTATTAATTTTAAAAGACTATTTCATCATTGCATATTTTTTCATAAGTATGACAACATTGTATTTTATTTACTTGATTGTTCTCTTGAGGGTCATTGAACCCTCACAGGGAAAAAAAAGTTCTGGGTTTAGTGAATGTCATACCTTCACATCATCTGCAACCAAGGTATGTCATATGTAGGAAGTGGAGTTAATGAGCGAAGAAGTGTTGTGAAGCAAAAAGCTCTGACATTCTTCTTTAATATAAAGATAAAAATCATTTGAAATCAATATATTATTTGCATGCAAAATGGGGCTGCTAGGTTCTTGAAAACAGTTTATTTTCTTTCAATCCTGTTATTCTATTAATACACTGAGCAAACTCTTTTTTCTAGATAGTGCTAAAGTAAACTTTCACCCAGCCCGTGTCTGCTTTTTTATGATTCTCTGAATTAATAAGGTTTACTAAGTTCCAGACAGATATACTGCCTTGGTGCAGGGTTGTTATCAGACTCAATTCTGCCTCATGATTGGGTTCCGAGTGATCAGTGGAGACCTCTTAGTTTAGATGCCATATTCTTTATGGATATCATCGATGTTTGTTAATAACATTCATGTCTCAATCAAGTTCCAAGAGATTTACTAGTTTGAGGGTAACAATTTCTGCTGTGCTGCTACACATTTGCTGAGTCTGGCTGGGAGCCATAACAAAATAAACTTCTGTTGTTTTAAGTCACCACGCTTGTGGTAATTTGTTACGGCAGTCATGAGAAACTAATATGCTTTTTCTCTCTCTCCAGAGATTGTTTGAGCTAGACTTAATATATCAGAGAGAGAAAAAGTAGCTGGAATTTTCACTGCATGCCCTAATATTTTCCTTCTGGTTTAGTAGAGAAAGGAACATGATGTGGAGAGGTAACCTGAGAACAGGATTCATGGGTCTGGGTCTCACCCGTTGGCTTTATGACTTTGGGTACTTAAAGTCTGACCCCTGGTTTTTGCCTGAAAATGAGAGGGCTCTGCCTGATTAAAAGATTTTCAAATATTGTTCCCAGGTTCCATAATGACTTCATTTTTTAGTTTTAATTTCAATACTAACACACATGTATTGAATTATTTTTAAATTATAATAGTTTTAAACACCTAAGTGTGTTATATATGAGATAGCAACACTTTGAAGACCAATCGTGTATTAAATTCTGCTACCAGCTTAATTTATTTTGGTGTTGACCACATAATACCGCGTCCCATCCCCTCTATATTTAATTCAGTGATTTTCAGCTGTGGCCAGAGGAGGACAACAGAGAAGAGCCCCGGGTTGCTTTGCCAAAAAACCCTAGAAATCCAGGCCCATCTTCAGATATTCTGATTTAGTAGATTTTAGTGCTCTGTAGAGGATTTAAATACCACAGACAATCCGAAGAACCAATATAAACTGTCATTCTTTTCACCACGCTTCCCCAAGATCCTTCAACTGGTGCTAACACTCTGACCCAACGTTGTTTTGTTGAACATAGAGTGTTTACATCAGTGAGGGTTGAAGACCTTGGGTTTTCTCTTTGATTTGGCCTTTAATATCTGTTATAATGTAAGCCTGTACCTAGACTTGTCCTTCTTCATTCACTCAATGTGGGTCTCACTAGTCCCCATGTGGACCATTGCTATGGCCTTTTCTAGCAAATCTTCCTCTCTCTAGCTTCCAGGCCTCACACTTCACCCTGTCACTGTTTCTAAACATAATTTTCATTTCATGATTCTAGGTAGGCAGCAATGTGCCAGGCAACCCATAAACCTCAGCCTGGCATTCAAGGTCTTGTGTGACCAGAACTCTATTTATACCCTTGTTTTCTTCTACTTTCCAATCTGAGCCCTCTTTTTTTGAAATGTTGTTACTCACTCTTCACCATCACATGCTACTTTCATGCTACCAATGACAATTAATCTCCACATGTAAAAATCCTGTTTTCTTCCTCTATACTCTCCAGGGTCTAGCCATGATCTGAACATCACTATTTCAGCCTCTGCTACCAATTTCCTTCTATGAAGGGCTATTGGAACTCATTTTCAACTATCCAAACCATTTTGGAAATATTCTTTTGGATATAGTGCATAAATATTTCAGGGAACCCAGAAGGACAGGTAGCGTCCCTCATCATTGTTATCCACCTTACCAGACCTTACCCTCACAATCTTCCCCAACTCTTTCATCCCATATTGATTTCTTTTTCTTTTATCTTTCCACTCAGTTTCACTTATCCTTTGTAGCTCATCCTGGTTTATCCTTTAGTGTGTCCCAACACTGCCACATATTAGAACCACTCAGACAGATTTTTAAAAATGTAGATTCCTAGACAAGAGATTTTCTTTAATTGATCTCGTGTGAAGCTCAATGTACCAAAAATACATTTATACTGGCTTTTAAAAAATGTTCCCTGAGTAATTCTAATGAGGGAACAGCGCTGAGAAGCTCTAAACTGAGCCAGAGTATACACTCCTTTAGGGAAGCAGTCAAGGATTAATGGATTATACTTCTGCCTTCATCCCCCCAAATAGTGGTTGAAATCCCAGGTGATCATTAAAGATACACTGACATGCTGACTTCCTCCTTCTCTCCCTGCTTCCCTCCCCCAACTCCCTCCTTCCCTCTCTCTCTCCCTCTCCATGTCGTTCTTTCTTTCTTTCTTTTTCTTTTTAAAAGAGAAGAGGAAAAAGAAGAGATTGGGGGAAAAAGTCCTGTTACAAATATGCCAGTCCTGCCAGTTCCCACCTGAGAAATGCACACGTCCTTATGAACATCCTGTGGTGGCCCAAGGCTCTGAGGCTTTAAGAGATCCCTGCAAAACTCTATGAAGCAGATCAGTTCTGTTCACTTTACTGTTTAGTCACTGACTGAAATGGAAAATATTAGTGAAGGTCAAAATTTTACATTTAAAAATAGTTATTCTTGACAAGCAACTGGAGAAATGTCTTGATTGGCAACAGGTGCTATCTTGCCTCACACCTCAGCCCCTCTGGATAGCTCATTAGGTCCTCCATGATCTGACTCAAGTTGTCTGCTCTCCACTCCCTGTCAATATGCAAACCCTTGGAATGCACAGAGGAGATGTGTACAATCTAGGGTCTTTTGCAAATTGCAGGCATGAGATTTGTATGTCTTTACTAATCAGAATCACTTGACTGTACCACCTCATTGCTCCTTAAAATGCAAACCTCCCTCTCTGGTAAACTTCATTTAAAAGTTGGGTGTATTTGATCAACAGTTGTTACAATTCTTGTGCATAGGTTTTGCAAATCTTTTAGATACATGACATTGTTCTTCTTCTGTGCTACAGTGGTGGTGGGGGGGTAGAGAACAGAAGGATAGTGCTTATTATATATAGTGGTAATGGAAAAGTTTTTTTTGAAATGTTGTTACTCACATTGTTCCATAGTTTGGAGTCTCCTGTTCATTTTTTTTTAAACTTTTTTATTTATTTATTCATGAGAGACAGAGAGAGAGAGAAAGAGAGGCAGAGGGAGAAGCAGGCTCCCAAGGAGCAGGGAGCCCGATGCGGGACTCGATCCCAGGACCCTAGGATCATGACCCGAGCCGAAGGCAGACGTTCAACCATCTGAGCCACCCAGGCGCCCCTCTCCTGTTCATTTTAATATAGTAAGTTATATTAATTATACCACAATCTATTCCTTTTACTGATTTGCCATCATGTTACTATATGTATATGCACATGTTGTATATAGTATATGAACACATATGTATATAGTATATTCAGCTATTCAGTGCTATTTTGAACCTATTCTCATCACAAAGAATAGGTATATAGACTTTCCTTTGTATTTTAAAGAAAAAAAGTATGCCAAACTTCTCCAACAATCTGGAATTTTATTCCATCCATATACATGCATAGTAACAACATTTGTTGAGAAATTATTTCTATCAGAAGTAGAACATTATCTTTGTGATCACCAGGTGCAGTATTGCTACTCTTATATTTAAATAGATCTTATATATGAATTAAATTCATACTTGCAGCATTGAGTTTAGGATTTCGATTTAGACTGTGCCTTTCAAAAGATAAAACTGATTAATACTACCTCATTACTTACAATACTGCTTCCAGTAATTTTGTTCATTCTTTATAAAGTATTGCATTTAACAGCAAAGGTTTAAAAATTGAGACAGAGCTGCATCAGCGAAAGAAAATACAAGTACTATACAAGAAAAAAATTGCCATCTTCATTTAACATACGTTTCAGATTAAGAAAATGGACAGAAACATACAGCTACATACAAATGCAAAGCCTAGTGACTAAGAGACTGTATCTGCTAAAATATAAAGTGCAAACAGAGCCTGATTATCCAAGAATTGAAATCTTAAGGCGAACTTATAGCATGTGTATTTAGAACATCATTGCAAGTTATATTTTAGCATATACATATATCTGCAACAGCATAGAAGAAGAAATCGATACACAAGTGCTTTTGAAGCTATTTCTAAAATGCTTTTCTGTATTGTTCGTGACTATTTTCTTTAAAAGCTACTATACAGTGCAAACCATATGCGCTACACAATAACTATACAATAACATTACAAATGACTTTAATATAAAGTTTTTAAATAAAAAATAACATAACCACAGCTATGAATACTGCTGGTAAAATAAATTAATTTCTTTTTGAAAATGGCACCAATAATACACTTTACTAATGGACTGTAATGGAATTACACCTTAAGTCTTCAACTCAGCCTTAATGAACAATCTCCTGATTGCCCAGATGTAATTCAAACAGCTTTTGTTTTTGTTTTCTGGGGTTTTGTGTGTGTGTGCGTGTGTGTGTGCGTGTGTGTGTGTTGTTGTTGTTTTTCCGGACTGGGTAGAACGACATACTAAACACTGGTACCAAAGGTGACTGGTGTTTATTTATGAAGTTATCTCATTTGACATGTTCCGCCGCATGTGATGAGCAATAAAACTTCTTGTGAGTTATAAAGTTTGAGAGGTTGTTGAACTGAATATCACACAGCCGGCAATATTTCCCACTGGTTGGAGCCTGGGTGGCGCCATTCACACCTTTAGCTATACTAGACAACTGTTCGTCTGCGGAAGGGATTCCCGGTGAGACATTCTCGTTCGTGGCTAACGGGTTCTCAGAGATCCAAGAGGGAGATTTGTGGCCATCTTCATGCTGAGGATTCTGGGAAATGTTCTCCTGCTGTGGGTTGGCGGCGGGTCTGTCATCTTGCTTCAGTCCGCCATTAACTATGACCATGCCTCTGTTTTTGGGCAGCAGTGGCAGAGACTCTTTCTTCGGCACAGCACAGCCGTTCGAGGAAGCCTGGCCTTTCGGAGATTCGTTTTCCGCGTTTGTGCTTTGCTCTAGGTCAGCGTTATGGACGACAAGAGACCCAGAAATGTAATCACTTGGCTTTATTCCATAATACGGAGAAAGCTGGTCAGCTCCTTTTGCCTTCTTTATTGCTCCAGGGTAAAGGCATTGGGGAAGAAACAAATGTTTGTTTTCTTCTTTTGTGGCAATGAGCTGAGCAGCTTCACTAAAGACTTTCAGGCCTTGCAGGGTGGCTAAGTGGGAGGAAAATAAGTTTCCGTTAGGGGAAGGCTGCTTCAGATTTCCGTTTTTCTCACATTTTATTATGCTTCGTTCATAGCTGACATCGGGGCTGTTTCGTTCGCTTTCTGGATTCGGAAATACTTTGCTGTCGAGTTGGCCCAGGTCGTTCCGCTGATGTGCTGTGACTGGGCAGAAATTCTGCTTGTGAGCCAGGTAGTTCTCGACTTTATTGAAGCTGATCTTGCACACAGTGCACTCGTGGTAGTCCAGCAGCCTTTTGGGAGACGTGGTCGTCCGCTCTGACTGGGATAAGCACTTTTTGCTGAGATCTATGGGCACGTCCATCTCAAGGCAGGAAACGCTGGAATGAGTAGTGTCACATTTGGACACCGGGACACATTTGTTGATCGTCAGAGAAGTTTCCAAGTGCTTTGAGACAATTCCCGGAAAGATATCGCATCTTGGGTGGTAGCACTCTCCTAGCCCTTCCGTGGGTTCTTGAGTGGAGGTACAAGGATTGCTGAGGTTGGCAACATCAAGAAATCGCTGTTGGACCAGGGGAGGTCTTTGCTCCTGTTCAGGTAGGCACATCTCATACATCTTCCTTCGCTTGCGTGTGCGCATGGTTCTCTGCATGGCAGGCACTTTGTTGGAAGCAGACCTCTTTAGTGGAGGGTCGTGGCGCGTAGCACAATAATACTGTTTGTGGACCATGTAGGTTTCATGCCGGCTGAAGGTAATGTTGCAAGCTTCACAGGTAGTCTTATTTGGGTCACTTTCCCCATCCACCAGGGGGACACTGGGATTTTTCACATCAACAGGTTTTCCGTTAATTTTATCGTCGGTGCTACTAGAGGGGGAGACCTTCTTCGCTTGAGTGGAAAAGTCCTTGTCGTGGCCCTTCCCATTTGGCCCAATTAAATCTAAAACGGCGGAAGAACTGATGCAGGACGTTTGAAGAAGGGGATTCTCAGGATCAGCAGAATGAGCGGCTGGGTTGAGGAGGTTTATGGAGGTTTGGCCAGTGTTGGGGCTCACGGCCTCAGGCATCTTCTCTGAAACACCAGGGAACTCTGGGGACTTGGCCATCTGCTGCCATCGGCTGCTGCAATAATGTTTTTTGTGCACTAGGTAATTATCCAAATTATTGAAGGTTATGTTACACTCAAAACAAGTGGCCCCCTTGGGCATCAAGGGGCTGTAAATTACAGGAGGGTAGCTACTACTTCCGTGCCTCAGGCGCCGATGGACCAGTTCAGACATCTTGGCTAAGATCTCCGAAGCTTGAGGGACCATGGTGATGTCTTGGGGGAAAGCAAACTGAGACAGGAAAGGGCCCACGGGGAAAGAAGGCCCAACATTAGGCTGAACCGGAGATGAGGCAAGCCTTGGACTCGAGGGCTCAGACTTTATTTTTGTGTAAGAAAAGCTTTGTTTGTTTGTTGTAGGCTGTACCTCTGGTCTCTGGTTAGTGAGAAAGAGCTGCGTCTTTTTCTCACACTTGTCCAGCTCGGTGTCCGAGCTCGCATCTTTAGTCTGCATGGCCTTTTGGCTCTGGGGGAGTTCGCTCCTGGTCAGCAAGTCTGGAGCTGGCTGTAGGCTATCTTCGGTCCCACCTGGAGAGTGTTCCATGTCACTTTCTCTGGGAAGTTTGCCCCCAGGGACATGGAGCTCCTGGTGCTGCAGTAACTCCCTCTGAGTCGGGAAGCCGAAGTGGCAGTGGTTGCATCGGAATGCAGCTTGAGTGAGATGCGAGAACAGGTGTTGGTGGAAGCCGATCACGGAATCGGCCGTGTAGCTACAGACGGTGCATTTTAGACTAGCACCAGGGGGAAGGAATTCTTCCATTTTCACTCCTGGAGAGACATACAAAATAAGAATACTGAGAACCACGCACATTGGCTTTCTAATGATAAAAACCTATACGCCGCAGGAATGAATTGAAATCTTTCAGAATCTCGTTTGTAATAGTAGCTTTTTTTTCTTGTGACAGCTTTTGTCAGGTGTCATCATAGTAAGAACACCTCATAGCTTCCAGGGCACGTTCAAGTGTGTTATTGGATCACAGTGGGACAGTCTTCACTGTCTCCACCTCCCAGGTCAGGAAACAAATTCAAGGAAATAAGGGAACTGATGATGGCACTAAAGCTATTCGATGACGGAGCCATGGCAAAACCTCAGATTTCATAATTTCTAACCCGAGAACCTTCTCATTACAACACCATGCTCTGCATTGGGAAGAAGCAGGTATACATTAGAGTTGATATTGATAACCTGTGTGCAAATCAGATAACTCTCGGTGCACTAGATTAGGTATTTATTCAAAAGAATCCAAGCAGGAACCATTTGGTAAAGTAATTAATAACCTCCTAATTTATCTTTGGTACAAATCTAGAATTTTATGCATTGATTTTGATGAACATGGTTTATCTCTATCCAGGGCTGATATTCAGCTAGTACACTAATATGGTCGTTTAGAACCAACATCCGTGTTGACTGATCCCGGCCTATTTCTAGTCAGTTATAAAATATTTTGAATATCACCAGTGACTGGTGAGGAAACTTTACTGTGAGGTTGTAATTTATAAGAAATACATATTTGGTCATTCACAGATGTTAAGTCTCTGGGCTTCCTGGCTCAGCTCCCTAAATCCTTGGAATTTCCTGTGATAAGAGCAATGAAAGTATTTTTGTTATGTTTTGTTATGTTAATGAAGTGACTTTTAGAAAGCCCTTAGGTTACCTAAGGGTGGAGCTGGTTGCGATGAGAACCAACCTTGTAATTAGAGGGTTTGAACTTTTAGCCCCGCCTCCCCAGACTCTGGAGTTTGAGTTTAAAATTGCCAACAGTCAATATTTAATCAATCAGGCCTGTGTAATGAAGTCTCCATAAAAACCTGAAAGGACGGGTTCAGAGAGCTTCCCAGTCGTTTTGCGGAAAGTGGCAGCCTGGGAGAGGGCACAGAAGCTCCTCACCACTCCTCATACTGTGCTCTAGGCATATCTTCCATCTTGCTGTTCCTAAATCACTACCTTTCATAATAAACCAGCAATTTGGTGGGTAAATGGGTTCCCTGGGTTCTGTGAGCCACTCTAGCAAATTAATTGAACCCCCCCCCCCAAGAGGGGGTCTTAGCAACCTCTGATTTACAGCTAGTTGGTCAAAGCCTAGGTAACAACCTGGGTTTTCTCCTGGCATCTGAAGTTGGGGCAGGGGCCTGATGCCTTAATCTGGAAAATCTGATGCTGTCTCCAGGTGATCGTGTCAGAATTGAGTTAAACTGTAGGATACCCATTTGGTATCTGGAGGATTGTTTGGTGGTTATGGGGGAATGCCTCCCCCCTATGTATGGGAATTGAGATCTGGACACCTTTACTAAGGTCAACTCTAGTTCCCATTTGTTGGCATATGGCTAAATCAGGCATGGCTCATGCTCTCTGCACTTTAGACTAAAATGAGACCTGCCTTTTATACTTATAAGCTGAAAATACGGTAGAAAAAAACCCAGTCCTATAGCAATAAAAGGGGACGTATTTGTGTCTCCTTTTCTCCTTAACTGATCCAATACTCATTTTTCTATTTAGTCGAAAGATCCCTCTATCTCTCTTTTTGGTTTGTGAATGACTGGCTACTCACTATCTGACACAACCGACCTGTTTCTGCTTCCTCTGCTTTATCACCTACATAAAGATAGCTCATTTGTAGGGAAAGAGAAGAGAATGACTAGAAAGGAAATTGCCTATTTTTATAGGTTCAAAGACAAAAGCTTGCACTGTACTAGGGCATTGGAGGTTGGAGCTAGTTTTTTGTTTTTTGTTTTTAAACTCAGCACCTATTTCAGTTTTTTTAATTATTCAACTCAAGCAAAAACAGTGAAGGCAGTCACCCAGCAGTACCTTTTAAGTTTTGTATTATGGGTGCTGAAAACTGTGATGCCCAAACCTTGGTTTGTCCTATTCACAAACATTTCTAGAAGTATCTAGAGTTAATATAATTCTGTACATTTGATTAGCTTAAGTTTTTTAAAAATACAGGAATGAATTGGAACACTATGTGATAATACTAACAATAATTGGGCATATAATTCCAAAGTAAAATGGGAACAGTTGCCACTGTGCTGTTAAAGAGTGAGCTTAAAACACACACACACACACACACACACAATTTGTTTTTTTAGCCTAATTTTTCTTAAGGAATTTAAAAATGTAGTACTAAAAGTGGTTTTATGTCACAGAAATCAACTAAGCTGTTGTGCATGCTCTGGAAGTCAAGAGCATTTCACAGATTCATATTTTAAAGTTAATTTCTCTGGCTAAAATTAACAAGTCAGGAAATGACAGATGTTGGTGGGGATGCGGAGAAAGGGGAACCCTCCTACACTGTTGGTGGGAATGCAAGCTGGTGCAACCACTCTGGAAAACAGTATGGAGGTTCCT